TGTCTGGGGATGCATGAACAGGGGAATCTCGAGTAGGAGGAGAGGTTATTTTACCACTGTGTTTGGCACTTGTGAAACTGCTGCTGAAATAGTGTCCAGTTCTGGTGTTCAGTTAAAAAATGATGTTGATAAATTAGAGAAGTTTCAGAGAAGAGCTCGGAGAACGATTAAAGGATTAGAAAACATAGTGATACTCAAGCAGCTCAATGTATTTAGCTTAACAAAGAGAAGTTTAAGGGGTAACTTTTGGTGACAGTCTGTAAGTATCTAGCTACCTGGGGAACAAATATTTAATAATGGCCTCTTCAATTTAACAGAGAAAGGTACAACACAATCCAATGGCTGGAAGTTTGTTACACACATTCAAATGGGAAATAAGGCATCAATTTTTGACAATGAAGGTAACTAAGCATTGCAACAATTTATCAAGGGTCGTGGTGGATTCTCAATCACTGAGAGGATGTTTTTCTAAAATATCTGCGCTGGGAATTATTTTGGGGAAGTTCTATGGCCCATGCTATACAGGAGTTGAAATTAGATAATCATAATGGCCCTTTCAAGCCTTAGAATATATGATTAAGAAGCACTTGACCAGATAAAAGGTCTTCAGTGAGATTCATGTAAAGAATCATACACTGTAATGCAAATGTATAACTCTCTACCGTGAATATAGAATCATAGAATATCAGGGTTGGAAGGAACCTCAGTGAGTCATCTAGTCCAATCCCCTGCTCAAAGTAGGACTAATCCCCAGACTGAAATTTGCCCTAGATCCCTAAATGCCCCCCTCAAGGATTGAACTCACAACCCTGGGTTTAGTAGGCCAATGCTCACTAGTTGTCCTATATTCGTCAAACTGTTGTGCTTTATTTCCTTGAGGTGTAGGCAGTCAAGCTTTTTCACCCACACAACATGGGTGGAGTGGATGGGCCTATGTCTTCAAATAGATTTAAACACAGTTCCAGCTAAACTGGCTTCTAACAGCATGGACAGGGCCAGATTGTCAGAAATACCCAAGTCATGCTAGGATAGCATCATGTATGTATATATTTTAAACGGCTAGAACACCTAAACCCTTGAATTCTGTATGTGAACATTGTTTGGCCTTCTCCACAATGAATGACAGAACCATGAGATTTGTCTACACTATGAATTTAGCCATGTCAGTCATGGGACACAGAGGTGTATGTTCTAATTTCTTTTGTTTGTAGTAGGGCTGGGACAACCATTTTATAGAACTGTTTCTAGGGAATAGTTACAGCTTTGCCCTAGGCCATGTAATATGGTTCCCTAAGATGTTATCCACAGTAGACACAATTGTTAGAACATAGATATCTAACCTGTGTCATACAACCACACATTGGAACAGTTAGACTTAATGGCCCCGTCTTCCCTAGAGAATTCGAACAAAATTCCATTAACACTGGGTTATTCCTGAGGGAATTCTGAACCACTGCGCAATGCAGAATTTTGCAGAAATTACTGTTGGGCATGCAGAATTTCCTTCCCCCCCCTAACAAAAATTGTCTGCAGAGCTGTTGAAAGGGGGAGGGAATTGGAGGGTTCCCAGCAGCTGCAGTTCCTAGCATGCCCTGAAGGCAGGAGGCAGTGTGTAGGAAGCTCCGTGCAAGCCCAGGACCTGGCATTAGGCTTTCTCCCTTTGGATCCCTGGGTTCTAGGAGGGTAGGGTCTGTGAATGTCTAGGCTGGGGGGTCGCAGCTGGGCTCTGAGGGGGGGAGAGGGTGTGAGGGTCTGGGGGAGGGAGGGGCTGTGAGTGTCTAGGCTGGGGGAGCCCCCGCAGCTGGGCTCTGGAGAGGAGGGGGTGAGTGTCTCTGGGCTGGGGGGGGTTCACAGCTGGGTTCTGTGGGAGGAAATGTGAGTGTCTGGATGACTGGGCAACAAAATGGCAGATGAAATTTAATGTTGATAAATGCAAAGTAACGCACACTGGAAAACATAATCCCAACTATACATATAAAATGATGGTGTCTAAATTATCTGTTACCAGTCAAGAAAGATCTTGGAGTCATTGTGGATGGTTCTCTGAAAATATCCACTCAATGTGCAGCGGCAGTCAAAAAAGCAAACAGAATGTTGGGAATCATTAAGAAAGGGATAGAAAATAAGACAGAAAATATCATATTGTCTCTATATGAATCCATGGTAGGCCCACATCTTTAATGTTGCATGCAGATGTGGTCACCCCATCTCAAAAAAGATATATTGGAAAAGGAACAAAAATGATTAGGGGTATGGAACGGCTGCCGTATGAGGAAAGATTAATAAGATTGGGCCTTTTCAGCTTGGAAAAGAGACGACTGAGGGGGAATATGATGGTCTATAAAATCATGACTGGTGTAGAGAAAATAAATAAGGAAGCACTATTTACTCCTCATAACACAAGAACTAGGGGTCACCAAATGAAATTAATAGGCAACAGGTTTAAAACAAAAGGAAGTATTTCTTCACACAACGCAGTCAACTTGTGGAATTCTGTGCCAGAGGATGTTGTGAAGGCCAAGACTATAACAGGGTTCAAAAAAGAACCAGATAAATTCGTAGATGGGTCCATCAATGGCCATTAGCCAGGATGGGCAGGGATGGTGTCACTAGCCTGACTGCCAGAAGCTGGGAATGGGCAATAGCGGATGGATCACTTGATTACCTGTTCTGTTCATTCCCTCTGGGGCACCTGGCATTGGCCACTGTTGGAAGACAGGATACTGGGCTAGATGGACCTTTGGTCTGACCCAGTATGGCTGTTCTTATGGGTTGAGGAGGGGGGGTGAGTGTCTGGGCAGGGCAGGAGCCCATGGCAGGGCTCTGGGGGAAAGGGTGTGTGTGTGAGCTGGGGGGGGGGGGGGGGAGAGAAGTAGGAACTAGATTGTTGTGGGGGTTTCTTCAACTTTCTAATCCTGGGGGAGTTTTTGTTACTGACAGAGTTGCTGACAGGTATTTTGAAATAAATTACCAAAATAATCAAAAGTGGTGATTATGTAGTGTTATTTTGACAAATAAAATTTGCAGAATTTTAAAATATTGTGTACAGAATTTATTTTTTTTGCACAGAATCCCCCCAGGAGTAACTGGTGAAGCTCAACACACAGTGTTGAAAAATAGCTGCTGGAGCCAGAGAGGGGTCTCCATTTGTGTTTCCACTGTTACAAAAACTCTTGCAACTGTGTTTGTTAGCAACAGTTTTGTAGCATTCCCTAATGTAAAAAGGCTCACTATGGTTTGTCCAGCCATTATGAACAAAGCTAAAATGTCAGAACTACATTTTAAAAACATATTTAAGGCATGTCTTTTTAACACAGTTCAAGCAAGACTTGGTATTTTGGCCCTAAAATGTTTAGTTTGGATGGTTGGATTTTAGCAATTTAGCTAGTGTGCTTAAACAAGTTTCCTAAACTCTGTTCTCTAACCAGTTTTTTCATTTGGCTGGGAACCAACCATAGATGGCCTAGCCTGCATTAATAAAACCTTTATTTGAACATTTTATAGCATTTTATAATGAAAAAAATGTAGTTTGTACATGTTAATGACAATATTCAGATGAAATTAGCACAATCTACTCAAAGGAAACTGAACTACTAACAAAATATGATGATTCTTTCCTACTCTTAACTAAACCATTTCATGTCATCTTACTGATCACAAAACAGAAGCTGACTATCTTGCTAAAATATATTGGATAGGTGAAAGACAATACTACATAAAGATGGTGCAGACTCCAAGTTAAGTGTATCTGAACCAAATCAATAGACATGGCAGTTGTCAGCCAATATATCTTAACCTAAAATAAAATTATTTGAATGTGGAAATTACTTAACATTTACAAAAAACAATTTAAGCTTTTGCAAATATTACTGGATGGTATCTGCAAAGATTTTTGCAAATTATATTTAATTAAAAACAATTATCTTGTCCATGGACCAATTCACAAGTTGTACCAACTTCATTAGGATGAAGGGGAATACTAGAATAGAGAGCATCTGGATGCTAAGGTTGACTTAAATTCATCAATGTGTGTTCTGCTTTTGGGTCTGAGGTGAGACAGCCAGCAAATACACTAGCCACAGCCTGGAGGCTCCAGAACAGCACACTTCCTTTAAACTTTCCAACCCAATTCTTACACTAGAAGTAGAGGATGTTATCAATCAATTTAAGCTGGCTGTACCAGTTATATTTAGAATTAGTTTTATTATGATAGAGGACAATTACATTCATTTTCTTTACAACAGCACATATGATCTCTACAACTCTTACAAAAAAGGGCAGCTCTGGAAGTGAGAGATAAGTATCAGATACTGTAATCAGTCAGATCAAAGCATTGCACCACTTAATCACAATACATGCTATACTGCTCATCAATGCAGCTAGACTGTAGAAAATAATCATTTTATCAGTTAAAACCATAAAATAATAATAATAAACTATAACTCTCCACAACTTTCTGGCTAGATCCTAGTTCACTCGTTTAAAACAGCTGAGCACTGCTGTTTTATAAATACTTCGTTTCCAAGCTTTGTGCCCTGGCTGTCATTTCCATTTGATATAAAATATAATCTCTTACCTACAATTGTAAGATATTCACTGGGAACATTAAACGTGGCTGTCACTTGAATCGCAGCAGCGAAGGAAGAGAAATAATGAGCTAGGGTGAAAGTATGCCCCCATTGAATTCAATGGAAAAACTCCCATTAACATCAGTGGGGCTCGGATTCCATGTCTCGTGTTTTACAGAAATCCCTGCCTTCCCTCTGCATATGGAAACAGCTACCTACTACGCTCCTCGTAGCTATCTCCCCAAGACAGGATTTTATCAACAACATTGCAGCCAGTGCCCCAAAGCACCATCTGAGGGGGGCTGGGCTGGAGGCAGCATTAACAGCCTGTTGGTGTCTATGTAGCACTTCTCGCCCCAGACACAGGGTGCTCGCTGACCTCCCCGGTAACGGCAGCGCCCGGCCCAGCACCAATCAATGGCAGAGCTCTACCTTCAGCAGCCGGGACCTGCCCTCCGTCGCAGCCCCTTCTCGCCCCGCCAGCCGAACTCCTGAGCCCGGCGCTTCGCCGGCACAAACAGGAAGAGCGGGGCGGGGTGGCTGCCGGGGAGCGGGCCTGGCGCCCATAGGGCGCATGGGCTAGGAAGTTTTCAGTGGGCGAGCCGCTCAGGCGAGCGAAGGGAACGTTTGCCTGCTGCGGACTACAACTCCCAGAGAGCCTTGCGTCAGGCTCTTCGCCCGGGACTCCTCCCAGGGGAGGGCAAATAGCAGGATAGAGCGATTGCCTACATTTCCCAGAGTGACTTGCGCGCTAAACCCTCTTCTCCCCCACCCGCGCCGAGACCTTTTACCAATCCCAGCGCTCCCAGGTTGTGTCAGGGCTCGCACACGGTGTGTGTCTACCATAACACCTGTTTTCTATTGCCTCCTGCAGACTAGGGAGAAGGCAAGGGTTAGCTCAAGCCACTATTTAATTTGATGGACCCAGCTCCATGCTTACGGCCAATGTAGACACAGTTTGACACCCGTAACTCGATTGTAGTAAGGTTGAATTTTAGCCGTGCTAAAGTCAAGCTGAAGGCATTCAACTCTCTACCATGGTGTTTTCAATTAGTTAAACTAGCGGGATTGAGCTAACTTGATTGAAAAAACACCTTTTTTCAGTGCTTAATGGTCTGGAAAAAAGGGATGAAGTTCTGTCTTATTCTGGTAGCAGTAGTTTTGAAACAGTATATAAAGTGTGCTGCTCCACAGCCGAGCTTGATTTTTAAGTGGGTTTTCTTGGGCCAGGATATGACCCCTTGATCTCCTTCCCACACACACACTTTACGTCCTGCCTTTTTTCTTAATCTACAGGTAGAGTGTACTTTAGCACAAGGTAGCTGGTAGAGCTGAACAGGATTGGCCTCAGTGAAAATGGCAGCCTGGGCAAACGTGTTTTGGTGCCCCTGGCCAGGGGTGCTAGAACAACTTTTATAGTAGGGGTGCTGAGAGCCATTTAACCAAACCATAAACCCTGTATATAATGGAAACCACTTTAAGCCAGGGGGTGTGGTAGCACCCCTTGTTCCAGCACCTATGCCCCTGGCCCCGACAGCACCCCACTCCCCCATTGTCCCAACCCCCAGGGCTCACCCCATCACCTCTAGGCTCCACTGTTTCCTCCGTGCCCACCCCCTACCCCTAGTGTTTAATTTGCGCTGGCTGGGTGCCCAGCACTGAGTTTTGGGGGGAATGTGTGTGTGTCTGTGTGTGTGTGTTGGGGGGAAGAGTGTGTACCTGAGTGATCAGTGATCATGTCAGCGTGATCAGGGTGCCTGAACAGCAGCACCGGAAGCTTCCACTTCAGACCTGGAGGCACCAGCACAAACATGCTCTCTCTGACCCCCACCCCCACCACAGAGCAGCAGAAATTGGGTACACAGATGGAGGGAGAGGGACACCCCACCCCCAAACACACACACACACACACTCTGAAGCAGACAGGAAACAGGCTCCAGTTGGAGTAGCTTGACCTTGAGTGGCTCCATGGGTAGTGGGAGGGGAACAAGATCAGCGGTGGATACAGATGGCAGTGGAGCAGGGCACCCTTGCTTCGGAGGAGTCACCTGACTGGTCCAGCTCCCCCCCCCGCAGCTCAGTTTGTCCGCCCTCTTCAGACATTGCTGCGCCTGCCTGGTAGGGTGACCAGATGTCCTGATTTTATAGGGACAGTCCCGATTTTGGGGTCTTTTTCTTATATAGGTTCCTATTAGCCCCCACCCCCTGTCCCAATTTTTCACACTTGCTGTCTGGTCACCCTACTGCCTGGTTGCCTCTAAGCTTCACTGGCTGTTGGCAGATCAGGTGGGTGGGAGGTACCAGCACGGGCAGCACCCCCTTGAATACCACACCCTGGGTGGGGGTCCAGCCTGCCCCCCTCTAAGATCGGCCCAGGAACCCTAGGCTCACTCTATGCTAAAGTAAAACTAGAGTTCTATAATATGTTAGGATGTGCTAGTTAACACACAAAAGCCCAGTTTTTTATCCTAGGTCTTGGCTTCACCACAGCAAAAAAAGGTGTTAGATAACTCAAGTTAGAACATGCCTTATTTCATGGTGAAGACAAGGCCCTAGCCAAGATATACCTCTAGAGGCCAATATTTATAGTATTAGCAATAGGGTTGCCAATTTTGGCTGGACCTATTCCTAGACATCACTTGACATAATCTTTAATTAAAGATTAAGCTTTAATTCCTGGAGACTTCAGGACAATCCTGGAGGGTTGGCAACATAATTAGTAAGTGTGTGGGAAAGTTGTTGAGTTCCATGTTTGGGTGGCAGCAGCATTAATAGTAGAATAACACATGGTGGAAAACTCAGTAATTCCCCCTGTGACTGGCATTTTCATGCAGAGAAGAAAATCTTTGAGTGGGGAAAGGGCCACTTAGAAACATTTTTTTTAATGTTTTCATGTGAATTTAGAGACAGTGAGATGTGCTCAATGCATAGCTGTGGAAGTGAAGTTACTTTTACCTATCCATAGAAGAGCATCCATGGCATAATCATTCTCCACATTCACAAATGTGCGTCGACCATGAGGGAATATCTGCAGGTTTTCATGATAGAGTAATAAAAATGCCAAAGACTATTGCTAGCACTAGTTCAGATGCATTGTGGTTGGAAAACAGGTACAACATTTTCTAATGTATGATAGGCTGGAGACTGAAAGAAGGGGATGTTAATAATTATGTCTGTGCAGTCTGGATCTTTCTTAGGAGTAGGTTTGACAGAAACTGATTTTTTAAATAATTTCAATACATTATATCAATGTTTATTTTTAAGCATTTTAAAGTTATTGATTTAAATATTTACAGTTTTACAAAAGTCTGGGTTTGAAGCATATTTTTACTTATATTGATTTAAATTTGCACAGTTGTGGGAAATCATGGGTGGATCCAGCAATAATTATTTAATGACAGTTGATGCTGAGATTAAAAAAGTTAAAGCTTTATAACTGTTAAAACACAAATTGTCAACATCACATGTCAAAATATATTAAATAAATATCCTTAAATCAAACTCTAATTAAGGTTCGCAAGCAACATTTCCTTACTAAGCCTATCTGTAAATTTCTGTTATTACCAATGGCAATATTTTTTCATTGGTTTGTATGTGTGAATTGATGTTTACTGATATTGACTACATTTGCAGATGACACAAAGCTGTGGGAGGGTTGTCAACACTTTGGAGGATAGAGCTAAACTTCAGAGGGATCTTGATAAATTGGAGAATTCGGCTAGAGACAACAAAATTTAATTCAACCAAGAAAAATTTAAAGTGCTACACTTAGGGAAGAAAAGACAAACGCACAAATACAAAATGGGGAATAACTGGCTTGGCACCAGCACTGCTGATAAGGATCCGGGGTTGTGGTGGATCACAATCTCAACATGAGTCAGCAATGCGATGCTGTTGCAAAAAAAGCAAATACAATTTTAGGTTGCATTAACAGAGGCATCGCATGCAAGTCACAGGAGGTAACAGTACCATTCTAGTCAGTGCTGGTTAGGCCTCAGCTGGAATACTGTGTCCAATTTTGGTCACCAATGTATAGAAAGGAAAGGATGTGGAGAAACTGGAAAGGATTCAGAGACGAGCAACAAAGATGATCAAAGGGATGGAATGTAAGCCATATGAGCAAAGACTGAAGGAACTGGGTATGTTTAGTTTGGAAAAAAGGAGATTAAGGGGGCATGATTGTGGTCTTCAAATACTTGAAAGCGTGCCATAAAAAAGATGGAGAAAAGTTGTTCTCTTTTGCCACAGAGGGCAGGACAAGAGGCAATGGGTTCAAACTACAGCCTAGCAGATTTAGATTAGTTTAAATCTCAGGAAAAACTTCCTAACTTTAAGAACAGTGGGACAATGGAACAGCCTGCTGTGGGGGATTCCTTCTCTAGAGGTTTTCAAAAGGAGGCTGGATAGCCATCTGTCTTGCATGGTTTAGACACAACAAATCCTGCATCTTGGGCATGGGTTTAGACTAGATAACCCTTGCAGTCCCTTCAAACCCTATGATTCTACTGATAAAAATCTAATCCATCAAAGCCTACTTATGAGAATGCCAATAAAAGCAACTATTGTGGTCTCTATGTTACAAACTGCGATAAGTCCACTGTGAACTGGAGACATACTGCCAAAGTCTTCAGTCCTGCCTAATTATTGTTCCTTGAGGAGCACAGGCAGACCTGCTGCCAAATCTCATTGTCTTGGATGAGTCTGTGTAAATACTCCCTCGTTATAAATTAATTTTAAAGTAGTGTCTAATTCTTCTTTAGATTGCTGTGTACCAATGAGGTATTTAAAAATCTTATTAATGTTATAGGAGGAATCGTTATCAACACCTATTATGAGTGTTGCCTCGTATTTCCCATGATAAGAACCTGTTTTCAGTTTCTTATAACTTTGCCAAGCTTCAACTGTTTGGGCTGAAGTTTTCCATGCCAGTTGTCTGCTTCAGACTAACTTTTTTAAATATTTCAGCCAAAACAGTTCAGCCATTTCTTAAAATTAGTCTAGGGAAGAATATGTTGTTTTGCCATTTAAAAATTCTGGTAAACTTTTCTTTGAGATACTCCAGTATTCCTATGTTTTGAAACAAAGACTTGAAATTTGGCCTTTGAGTCAGAGAGACATCTTTTGCTGTTCTTGCAAAAATCCACCCAGATTTGAACAAGTTATAAGCCTTTAAAAAAAATCTCAGTTTCACATTCTCAGTACAGACTTCTAGTTTAGCACCTAAAATACCCAGTGATTCCATCCAGGTCTACTCTACAAAATGTTATTAGCATAGATATGTTGGATGGGGGTGTGAAACAAATATTCCTCCCCACTCCCACCCCCAGTCTAGATGCAGATATGCTGACAGAGTGCTTCTCGCAGCATAGATCATGTTTTTTCTTTGGGAGGAGGGGGGCATATTCCCCTGATATTCCCACGGTGCCACCAGGAGGCATACCCAGAGAGCACTATGGAGAGTAAGCACCACAAATAGCACTATCCAAGAGAACCAGAGTGACAGTGCTCTGCAGCCCTCTGATTGGCTACGTGCCCTATTT